CAAATAATGATATTTATTGATATATAGAGTACAAGGGGTACCCCAAACCCTTAAACATCAATAGTTGGGAGACATAAATGTACAAAAGAGGACTAGCTGCCTAATAGTGTCGACACCCACATAAAGTGTCGACACTATACCCGTGTCGAGCTTATGACCTCCTTTACAGATTTTACAATGCTCCCTGTTCTGAACATCAAAAACTTTCACATTTCAAATCTACTGACACGCAGAATTGTTGAGCATGTATTTACAACAGTTTACCCAACACGCTACAGAGAAATACCTACTCAATGGAGCCTTTATGTCTCAAACAAATTTCAGCTTGCACTCCGATCTGCAGTGTTACCTTTTTTTTGTTGTTTATGGAACAATTTCATTGCTTGTTTGTAACTTCTCATTGACAGAGCACACGCTACAGGGTTATCCTTCCACTCATTAAACGAAAAGACACAGCCATTTACCTTATTCTTGATCCACAAAAATGATTTAGCTTGAATCATATTTAGAAGTCTTCCCCTGCTGATAGCTTCATTACCAAATACCTTACCATTTCTCCAATACCATAAATACCATGATACAACTAGAAAGATACAAGCGCCGATCTCCTTCCCTACTACCCTACCCAAATCATATACAAAGATGTTTGCCACTCCTCGTACGCTATTTGGCGTAACCGTCTTCATGTTCCACCACTGCAGCACCTCTGTCCACATAATCCATGCTTCCTTACACATACTAAATAAATGGTTAGCCTCCTCAATCATGTTATGGCACAAAACACACGTTAATTCCTCTTCCTGTAAATGCACTCCTCGCTTTCTAATGTTCCACTTAGTTGGGAGCCTATCAAGACATAAACGCCATCCAAAGAAAGACACTTTGGATGGTACTAATCTGCACCAAATAACCTTGCTCAACTGTTCCTCTAAGATACCCTCCGAAGGAGCCAAAAATTCATAAGCCTTCTTCACCATATAACTACCATCTGAATCATGAATCCACCTCCAACGATCTTCAACACCCTTCTTTAATTGCAAGATACCCAACTTCTCCCACAGTGCCTCCTCCTCGTCCTTCTCTCTTCCTATTCTCCCCCTCCTCCATTCCAGATTCCAGCACCATTTATCCCCTTCCCATACCCCCATTTCACAGATATTACCCTCCTTATTCCTAGACAGTGCGTACAATCTCGGGTAAAGATCTCTTAAGTTTTTCCCCCCTATCCACCACTCTCTCCAAAAACTCACCCGATTTCCTTCACCCACTTCCCATCTAAATCCCTCTACCAACATATTATGTAACCTCATCGACTGCCCCCCTATTCTAATAATATCTCTCCAAAGCTTAGAAACTCTCCAGTTCCCAATAGCCTTAATATCCGCCTCCTTCCAATTGCCCTCGTAATATTTTTCTGTTAGTACCCTTTTCCATAGGCTCTCTACCCCGACCCCAAATCTATGCCACCATTTCCCCAATAGAGCCCAATTTTTCCTACGCAAATCCTGCACCCCCAAGCCCCCTTTTATCCTACTTCGACATACTTGTTCCCATTTTACCCAAGAAATCTTCTTTTTTAACTCCCCCCCTCCCCATAAAAAAGATCTTTGAATGCGAATTAACTCAGTAATCACAGAATTTGGCATTAAAAATAATGACATATAAAAAATGGGTAGAGAAGAAAGTACCGAGTTAAGCAAAGTGAGGCGGCCACCGAAGGACAGCGAAGCAGCTTTCCAGACAGCAAGTTTAGCACGAAATTTTTTTATCACCGGTTCCCATAGTTTCCTACTCCCTGGATTTCCATCCACAGGCATTCCCAGATAAATAATAGGTGATTTTCCGACTCCACATCGCAACATACTTGCTGATCCTTCTATCCATTTTGTTGGAACATTATATCCATAAATGTAGCTCTTGCTGAAATTAATCTGTAGCCCAGACATCAGTTCAAACCATCGCAGAATTGTTTTAACCAGGGTTATATTCTCTATGTCAGCCTTTCCCATAATGACTGTATCGTCCGCGAATTGAAGTAGAGAAACTGTTAACCCCTTCCTGCCAATCTCTATACCTTGGAACATACCCTCTGACACTGCTTTCTGAACCACTCCATTTAATCCCTCCCCAATCATCAAGAACAAGAATGGGGATAGCGGATCCCCTTGCCGTAATCCCTTTCCAACCTTGAACTCCTCCGTCGGGCTTCCATTAACTAGAACCGAAATCTTAGAAGTCGACAAGCATTCCATAATCCAACCTCTCCATTTGATTCCAAAACCCATGCGATCCATCATCCATTCCAAGAATGACCAATCCACACAATCATATGCCTTTGCGAAATCAGCCTTGAAAACAAAAGCCGACTGCTTCCTTCTCTTAACTTCCTCCACGACCTCATTCAACACTAACACTCCATCGACTAATTGACGTCCTCTCAAGAAAGCAGATTGCGTTTCACTGATAATCCCCGGCATCACGGCTTTAATTCTATTGGCCAGCACTTTTGCTAACAGTTTATAAACACACCCAATCAAGCTAATGGGTCTATAATCCTTTAATTCCATAGAATTGAACTTCTTAGGAATTAGAGCTAGGAAAGATGAATTCAGCCCACTAACTAATCTACCATTCTTGTGAAACTCTGCAAAGAAACTCATAAAATCTTCCTTTAAACTATCCCAAGCAAACTTAAGGAAATTAAAATTGTACCCGTCCGGTCCCGGAGCTTTAGATCCTTCACAGCTTCGTAACCCTTCCTCGATTTCTTCAATGGAGAATGGTCGTTCAAGCCATTGTTTTTCCTCTGTAGAAATCTGTTTGAAGCTAACCCCGCAAGGCTTTGGTCTATTCCATGTGTCTCCTTGGAATAACTTGCTGAAATAATTGTACACCTCTTTCTTAACCTGTTCTGGTTCTTCCACCCAAACACCATCACGCATTAGACCTGTGATATTATTTTGGGCCTTTCTACCATTTGCTACTCTATGGAAGAATCGCGTGTTTGCATCTCCCGCACGCACCCAATTGCTTCTTGATTTCTGTTTCCATATCATTTCTCTCCTCTTTATGATATCCCACAATTTCTGAAAACCTTCCTGTCTTTGGATAGTCTCAAATTCGTCCAGATCAATCTCCTCATTCTTCATATCAATTTGCTCTATCTGTTTGGCAGCTTGTTCATACTGAGCTTCCATATTACCAAACACCTCCTTATTCCAACCCTTTAAAAAAGCTTTTAGCTCTTTTAACTTCTGTTTACATTTATATCCTGCGAATCCATCAACTTCCATTTCGCTCCACTTTTCTTCAATTACCTTCTTGAAATCTGGGTGAAGCTGCCATGCATCTAGAACTCGAAATGGCTTTGGTCCCCAATCAGATGTTTTTGAATTCAATACGATTGCACAATGATCAGAGATATTACGTTTCAAGCCTTGTTGCACCCAATTTCCGCCCATACTGCACATCTCTGCATTCATCAAGAATCTATCAAGTCTGCTCATGGCTGTACCATCTGGCCTGTACCAAGTAAACTTCCTATTCACCATTTTAATATCAATTAAACCTGCTGCCAGGATAAATTCATCAAATTTCTTCATATCTGGGTTCTCTCCAGTTCTTCCCTTTCTTTCTTCAAGACATCTAACGGCATTAAAGTCTCCCGCTAGCAACCATCTCCCTCCCTCTTCAATGATCATGTGCTCTAACTCCACCCACAACTTTAACCTTTTCTGTCTATCATTTGGGCCATACACATTCACTAGATTACATTTCACCTTATCTAGTCCCCACTCCCCTGTTATTCTCAGATAACCATCACCCGTAGAAACTTTTGTCTTATCAAAATTTTTCTTATTCCAGATACATAACAAGCCACCCGAAGCTCCTATCGACTCCTTCATCACCCAGTCCATCTCGTTTGAATTCCACATCGTTCTGCATAAATCATCATCCCCTGTTTCTAGCTTAGTTTCTTGCAGAAATAGGAAATCCGGTTGTTCTATTCTCACTAGTTTACCCACTTCCTTTCTCTTCAATACACTACCCAAGCCTCTAACATTAAAGGACACCAACTTCATTAAACAAAAGAAATCCCACACACCCATTTGTTCCTACCCGACCCTTTGCCACCCTTCCCCTGTCACTCCCCTGCAGCCTCCCTCATCTCCAATTCCATCAATCGGGACTGCACTTCCTCCTCATTATTTTGAATTTGAATGCCCAATCTCTTACCCATGCTCATCATCGTCCTCACCTCATGCAAGGCCATCTCACTATGAATCAACCTATTTCTATTTATTATACATCCATCAGAAAGGGAATCACTAACAACCGGAATTACCTTGCTCATTGTACTCGATTGAGTTCCATCTCTTTGTTGCTGACTCAGCTTTGTTTTTGAGACTTCTCTGTGTGTCTCTTTTGCCCGGATCTCCACAAAGCTCTCTGGGTAGCAGTCTTCTATTTTCCTTCTCCGCGTCCTCCTCGAACCCCTAATTGCAGTCTCTCGGTCGGTGGCTGACTCTCTTCCAAAAACCTCCTCGGGCCCTCTTGTTTTACTTCTCTTTATCTCTTCTTGTTTATATTCCCCTCTAAGCCCACTCTTGCTCCTTAGTCCAATTTCTTTACCCTCCAGCGGCCCATTTGTCTTGGACGGCCCACTCGCACCATCTTCTATGTCCGTGTCTCCTTCTTCTGCATGCCAGCTTGTCTTTCCTTCCTCTGAACTTTTGAAATTTGAATTCGAAAGACTGTCATGCATTAAATGCTCCTCATCCATGCGCACGTCATCTTCTGAACAAATCTCTGCATTACCGAAATCTTGATCTTCCTCATTTTGATCGGATGAGAATTCCGATTCCGTTGTCGACTCACTTTGCCGATCATCATCTGAGAGCCACCAGTCTGGGTCGGAGCGCCATTCTTCCTCAATCACTTGTATTTCATACATCTGCTCTTCCACCTTCAGAGAAACTTGTTTAACGATCTTATGCTCTGCAGAACTTATAACTAATATTCTCCCTTCACACAAGATTGACTTCATCTTTGTGTCACCATGTATCATCACCACCTCGCCCATGGATTCTCCGATCATTTTAAAGCATCTGTCAGACCATGCCTTTAATGGAATTCCAGCTATACGAAGCCAAACTAATCTGCTCCGTTCCTGAACTTCCTTGTCCCATGGTTTAATGACTTCAAACCACAAATCAAACAGCTCTTTGTTGAGATTCATAAACTCAATCAAATACCCTGTTTTTTTTTCCGTTAGCAGCACTCTTCTTCCGCCTATTGGTGATACAGTAATCAGCCCCCCATCCACATCAAATCTTCGTTGAATATCGGTTATTAATGAAAGGGATTTCAGAATGGCCACCATACCCCCTTCAAGCCATTTTAGCTCTTCCTGTGTTGGTGTGAATTCCATACATTCCTCCTGAGATTCAGCTTCCCTAACCTTCTCCCTACTTCGTTTGGGTTTTAGGATTTGACAGGATTCCACTTCCTCCTTCTCGTTTTGATGCCTCGTCTGGATTGTCCCTTTCTTCAGATGAGTTGAAACTCTGTCCTCTCCTCCCAGTGTTTCTACAGCAGTCGGTAAGCTTTGTGTCCTCTGTTCCTTCCCCTTTACCACCTGAGCGTATGACTGCCCTGGTTTTACCAATCTGTCAACTCTGTGCTGTGTTCTACCCCTTGTAACTGTTCCTTTGACTCTCTCTTTACTTCTATCCTCTGTTGTTTTTACTCTCAACTTGTATGAGTCTATCCAGATTTCATTCAGCCTCCTCACCATTTGACTTACATTCTGTACTCCCAGTAGACGTAGAAAGCCAAACCTCTTCCCCCACTTGTCGCGTTTCTTTGGCACAAAAACATCTACCACTTTTCCATACATCTGAAACCTGTACCATAGATCTTTCGCCTCCACGTTTTCTGGGAAATTATAAATGAAGAAAGTCGTAGCTTGCCCCGAAATCTTGTGATCCAATCCTGGAATCCAACGCCTGTGCCCTTGCCGCTGTCTGGTGCCGCTAGCTTCCCCTGTCGCCGCTCCTCTCGCTCTAAACCTCGTTCTCTCCATCTCAAGATTTTCAATTGTAATTGATGCTCTTGCCTTTTTAAGTTTGAATTGACCATCCTTATTTGAAAAGATCTCAATCCATGATTTTAGAAGAAAAATCAGGGATATATGATCTCCATCAAATTCGGCT